TGGCTTTGATGTGGATCTGTGTTTTTATTTTTCTTCGGTAAAAATCTAGAATCGGAACTGACTCATAGGGTAGGTGTGTGTTTAGTTTTATCAGAAACTGTCAGATTCCAAAGCAGTCATACCATTTTCAACCCCAGAAAAAAGCTTGAGGCTTATAAATTCTGAACCAAAGAATAAAAACATAGATTAGAAACTGCTTCTATTTATTTTCATCTTAAAATTTTAAATAATCAGGTTCAGAATACTGTAGCTAATAAATGGCTGCTTTGACCACACTCTCAAATGAACAATTTAAAAGAAGTTGTTGGTCTTTTCATGATAAAAACACTCTACAAATCAGGAATAGAAGGAAACATTTTCAACCTAATAAAGGTCACCCATTCCAAAGAAAGTTGATCTAACAGAATGCAGAAATCATCGAACAATATCATTAATATCACACACAAGTAAAATTTTGCTGAAGATCATTCAAAATTGGCTGCAGCAGTACATCGACAGGGAACTGCCAGAAATTCAAGCCAGATTCAGAAGAGGACGTGGAACCAGGGATATCATTGCTGATGTCAGATGGATCCTGGCTGAAAGCAGAGAATACCAGAAAGATGTTTACCTGTGTTTTATTGACTATGCAAAGGCATCTAACTGTGTGGATCATAAAAAATTATGGATAACATTGCAAAGAATGGGAATTCCAGAACACTTAGTTGTGCTCACGTGGAACCTGTGTATAGACCAAGAGGCACTCATTCAAACAGAACAAGGGAATATTGCATGGTTTAAAATTAGGAAAGGTAGGCATCAGGGTTATATCTTTTCACCATACTTAATCAGTCTATATGCTGAGCAAATAATCTGAGAAACCGGATTATATGAAGAAGAACGGGGCATCAGGATTGGAGGAAGACTCATTAACAACCTGCATTATGCAGATGACACAACCTTGCTTGCTGTAAGCTAAGAGGATTTTAAGCACTTACTGATGAATATCAAAGACCACAGCCTTCAGTATGGATTATACCCCAACGTACAGAAAACAAAAATCCTCACAATGGGACCAATAAGCAACATCCTGATAAATGGAGAAAATATTGAAGTTATCAAAGATTTCATTTTACTTGGATCCACAATCAACACCCATGGAAGCAGCAGTCAAGAAATGAAACAATTTATTTCAGTGGACAAATCTTCTGCAAAAGACCTCTTTAATGTGTTGAAAAGCAAAGATGTCACTTTGAGGACTAAAGTGTGCCTGACCGAATCATGGTATTTTCAATCGCCTCATATGCTTGTGAAAGCTGGACAATGAATAAGGAAGACCAAAGGAGAATTGATGCATTTGAATTATGGTGTTGGTGAAGAATATTGAATATACCATGGACTGCCAGAAAAAGGAACAAATCTGTCTTGAAAGAAGTACAGCCTGCTCCTTGGAAGCGAGGATGGCGAGACTATGTCTCACATATTTTGGCAGGACCCAGCAGTTTTTGCTTCTGTTGTACATAAGGTCATGGTGAGTCCGAACCAACTTCAAGGCACCTAACAATAACAACAATTAAAAACCCACAGCTAACATAATACTTAACGGTGAAAGACCGAATACTTCTCCCTAATACCAGGAACAAGAAGATATCCACTCTCACCCCTTCTTTTCCACATTGTATTGGAGGTTCTAGCCAGGACAATTAGGCAAGAAAAGTAAAAGGTATCCAGATTAGAAAGAAAGAAAAAAAACTATCTGTATTTGCAGATGACATGATCTTGCATATAAAAAATTCTAAGGAATCCACTAAAATGAGGTAACAAATTTTATGACCCCTTGTAGACGCCCAGATTATCTGGATTTAGAAATCCAGTGGCTTTCTTCATACGGCCTGTTCCATTATTCTCATATCCTTTCCTCCAGACTTGACAAAAATGAGCCAAACTCCTTCAGTATGGATTATACTTCAATATAAAGAAAACAAAAATCTTCACAACTGGACACAAAAGCAACCTCACGATAAATGGAGAAAATATTGAAGTTGTCCAGGATTTCATTCCATTCCACCTCTTTCTAAAGGATTGTTCCTGTGTCATCCTCAGAACCACTCACCAAGACCCTTGTTTTCCACTTCATATCTGGATCTCTGGGCCCCAATGTCTTCCTCTTGCATCCCCTTTCTAAAGCATGCCACTCTCTTATCAATATTTTAAAGTAGCTCCCTACTGCCTTACACAGAGTCCAAACTCTCCTGGTTGGTTTCTGTGTGTTTGCGGGTGTGCGCTCTGTGGCTTATTTTGTGTGTGTGTGCTTTAGGTGAAAGTTTCCAGCTCACGTTAGTTTCTCATACAAAAATTTATACACACATTGTCATGTGACCCTAGTTGCTATCCCTATAATGTGACCACACACTCCTCCTTTCCACCTTGGATTTCCCGTGTCCATTCAACCAGCTCCTGTCCCTTTCTGCCTTCTCATTTCTCCTCTAGACAGGAGATGCCCATTTAGTCTCATGTACCTACTTGAGCTAAGAAGCACACGCTTTTTAAGCATCGTTTTATGTCTTATAGTCTAGTCTTTGTCTGAAGAGTTGGATTTGGGAATGGTTTTAGTTCTGGGTTAACAGAGAGTCCAGGGGCCATGTCTTCTGGGGTTCCTCCAGTCTCAGTAAGACCATTAAGTCTGGTCTTTTTACTAGAATTTGAGTTCTGCAGCCTACTTTTCTCCTGCTCCGTCAGGGACTCTCTGTTTCTCCTGCTCCTGTCAGGGTAGTCATTAGTGGTAGCCGAGCACCGTCTAGTTCTTCTGGTCTCAGGCTGATGAAGTCTCTGATTTATGTGGCGCCTTTTGTCTCTGGGGCTAATATTTTTCTTGTGTCTTTGGTGTTCTTCATTCTCTTGTGCTCCAGGTGGGTTGAGACCAACTGATGTATCATAGATGGCTGCTCGCTAGCTTTTAAGACCCAAGACGCCACTCACCAGAGTGGGATGCAGAACATTTTCTTAATAAATTTCATTATGCCAATTGACCTAGATGTTCCCTGAAACCATGGTCCCCAGACTCCGCCCGGCTGCACTGTCCCGTGAAGTGTTTGGGAACTTCTTACCTTTTGGTTTAGTCCACTGGTGCTGACTTTCCCTGTATTGTGTGTTGTTGTTCCCTTCACCTAAGATAATTCTTGTCTACTATCTAGTTGGTGAATTCCCCTCTCCCTCCCTCCCCACCCTCGTAACCATCAAAGAAGGTTTTCTTCTGCGTTTAAACCTTTTCTTGAGTTCGTATAATACTGGTCTTATACAATATTTGTCCTTTTGTGAATGACTAATTTCACTCAGCATAATGCCTTCCAGAATCATCCATGTTATGAGACGTTTTGAGGATTCATTGTTGTTCTTTATTATTGCATAGTATTCCATTGTGTGGATATACCATAATTTGTTTATCCATTTGTCCATTGATGGGCACCTAGGTTGTTTCCATCTTTTTGCTATTGTGAACAGTGCTGCAATGAACATGGGTGTGCATATATCTATTCGTGTGATGGCTCTTATTTCTCTAGGATATACTCCAAGGAGTGGGATTGCTAGATCATATGGTACTTCTATTTCTAGCTTTTTAAGAAGGCACCAAATCGATTTCCAAAGTGATTGTACCATTTTACATTCCCACCAGCAGTGTATAAGTGCAGTCTCTTGTGGCTAATTTTTAAAACCAGTTGCTGTTGAATAGATTCCAATTCATGGCGACCCCATGTATATCAGAGTAGAACTGTGCTCCATAGGGTTTTCAGTGGCTGATGTTTCGGAAATAGATCTCCAGTCCTTTCTTCTGAGATGCCTCTGGGTGGTCTCAAACTTCCAACCTTTTGGTTAGCAGCCAAGCAGTTAACCATTTGCACAACCCAAGGCTTCCTAAACAACTTTACTAAAATGTAATTTACATGCAAGAAAATTCACTCATCTGAGGACTACGTTCAATTATTTTTAGTGAATTTACTGAGTCGTGCAACCATTATCATAATCCAGTTTTAGAATATTTCCATCACTCTGATAATATCCCTGGCCTGGTTGGCTTTTAAAGGCGGGTCCACCAAAAGTTCACCTACAAATGCAGTGTTTCAAATTTAGGCCTGAATCGTTTGGGATTTTGAATAGCGGTTCAAAGCCCCCAGGCAACATGACACTAAAGGATCATTTTCTGCTCCTTTGGTTAACAATGAAGTCTTGGTTAACCATTAAGCCAACCATAATATCTACAAGGTTAAGCTGACCCACATCTCCATTTTCATCCGAAGAGCTCTCCATCTTCCCCTCCTGCTACCACCTCAGAAGGGATCCTCCAATGCAGGGCTGAGGCATTTTTCTTAAAAGAAGCCTTTCTAGCGCACAGCCCCTCCCAAGCCCGGCAACCTCCTCGTCTGTCTCCGGCAATGCCAGCTCTAGTCCAGGCCCCCCACGCCCACGCTCCTGATCAAGAAACACTAATCACATTAATCTGTGGCCCTTTGCCAATTCCAACTCCGCCACTCCCACTTGCACCGAAGTTTCCCTTCCTCCCTTCCATCCCTGTTAGCCTCATTTCCCTAACCTCCAGCCAGGTCCTCGGCCAGGCTCCCACTCTTCTCCATCCTCGCCTCTTCAGCACTTCTCCTCATTACCCCTCAAGCGGCAGCATCCAGGACCTCGAAGGCGAAAAGGCTAAAACAATAAGATTTGTGCGCCGAGAGGAGGGGGTGTGTGTAGATGTATGTGCTCGTGTGTGGAAGAAACCAACGGCATCCACGTCGGTGTCCATCTTCGGGACATGCCAATCACTGTGGGCTAAGAAAGCGAGGATCAGCTCCCCAGTGCACTCCGGCACACTGCTCTCAGCTATCTTGAGCTCAGAGGCAGCAGGGCTTCACCCTGAACCCCAGACCTGCAGGCGCCCTGCCCCCGAATGACACACCACCCCCAGCCCCCGCGCTGCTGGTAGCGCCCGGCGCTACGTCACCCATTGTTTACAAATCAACCAGAGCAAGTAGGATTCCGGCTCCCGCGGCTGCTGGCGCGGTGAGCTCCTGGTGGGCTCCGGCTTTCTAGTCAGCCCCGGCCCCGGCTTCGGCCTCAGGATCGCGCCCGGCTCTGCCGCGGCCCACCGGGCTCGGAGGTGACCCGAGCCGCCAGCGACGCCCGCAGGGCTCCAGGTGCCCGGGCCGGGGGCAATGCCGTGCGGGAGGGAGGAAGAAGAGGAAGCCGACGAGGAAGCGGAGGGGGAGGAAGAAGAGGAGGACAGCTTCCTCCTGCTAGAGCAGTCGGTAACTCTGGGCGGATCCGGCGAAGTGGACCGGCTAGTGGCCCAGATCGGCGAGGCGCTGCAGCTGGAAGCGGCTCAGGACAGTCCGACTTCGCCGTGCGCGCCCCCGGGGCCGCCGCTGCAGCCCCTGAGGCCCCTGGCTGCCATGCGGGCGGACAAGGCCCGGCCACGGACGCTGCGCCTGCTTTTGCCGCCCGCATCGGCGGAGGCCGCGGGCCCAGGAGCCCTGCGCTGCACCCTCGAGGACCGCGGCCGTGTGCGGGGCCGAGCTGCGCCCTACTGCGTGGCAGAGCTTGCCGTCGGCCCCACTGCGCCGCCACGACTACCCTCTCAGGCCGGCTTTGATGGGCCTCCCGGATCGGGGAAGCCGAGCGCGTCACGGCCGCTGTCCCGCCGGTGCCGGCGAGGGTGGCTCCGGGGTGCCGCCGCCTCCCACCGCCTGCAGCAGCGACGCGGGCCCCAGTTCGAAGCCCGCACCAGCGACGACGACCCTCACCGGCTCTTGCAGCAGCTCGTACTCTCGGGAAACCTCATCAAGGAGGCCGTGCGGAGGCTTCACTCGCGACGGCTGCATTTACATGCAAAGCTTCCCCAACGCAGATTCCTGGGACCTGTGTCGCCCCGCAGCCCTCGCGCAGCCTGTAGTGACCCTGGTGCGTCCAGGAGCGGGGCGCAGCTCAGAACTGCCGACGGCGTTCTTGTCCCCAGCAGCTAACACGCCCAGGGTGCTCACAGCGCAAGCCTCTGACCCCGGGCTAGGGGTCAGGGGTACCCTGGGGACTTCAGCCCTGCTCGAGGCTGGCGGAGAACTCGCGCCTTTGAAAGCGAGAAAAGTAAGCTAATGACAAGGAATAGAAAAATCGCCAAAGTGACCGCGGGGAGCTGGGGGAGAGCACCCCTCTCTGTTTGAAATACAGATCTTGGCCCTATTTAAGGCAGATTACAGTTCGCACCCCAAGCTCACAGTCCTAATAAGACCGTTATTTGGCATGACCCGTACTGGCGGCGCAGCGTGCAGTTCCTTGAAGCTTCTCAGGGCCCTCCAGCCTGATGGCCATGTAGCCCAGTCCACCCTACTCAGGACCGCAGAGCTCGGGAAAGACGCTGTCCAGGACCGGGGCCCGGACGCTCTCTTCTCGAGTCCAACCACTTCCCTGGGCTCAGGCTGGAAGATGATCCCACTTACTTAATTTATCTTTTCAGGGCTGGTTCCTGATCCATTTGGGGGGAGGGGAACATGAATAGACATTGGTAATTTCAGGGAGCACCCTAAACTGCCAGTCTTGAAATTTTACATTTAAAAAAGCTCATGTCTTTTGAGGTGCTCGTTCTTAATATAAAACTGAAGTACCATGAAGGGAACCTCTGGGGGTTGAATAGGAGTAGCCTTTTTCTCTGCCCCTTCTTTGCAACCGGCTGCTGTTTTCAGAGCCTTCGGGGAAGGCGGCACGCCTAGGGTGGGATTGGACAGTAGGGCGGGGACAGGAGGTGTTGAGTGGTGGAAAGGTAGAATGAGGCGCGGAGTGACTCGTCGGTCCTCTCTAAAGTGGATTTTAACAGCCGCCCGCCCCTCCTTGGATTCAAGGTCAGTTTCCTGGTCGCACATAGGATTGCCTGGCTCCAGCAGATCAGAAGAGTCGCCGGGTTCCGCCTGTACTCCGAGAAGAAAGCGGTGTTTTGCAATTGCTGGAGTCCCCTGAGGACACGCGCGCCGCCGCCGCCGCCGCCACCACCGCGGGTGTGGGGCGCCTGGGCCGTGCCCGGCGCCTGTGCGTCCCACCGGCGACCGCCACCCCTGGCCACGCTCCGGGCTGTCAACGGACACTGTCCTGAGACGTGGCCCCAGGTCCCTCCTCTGCCCCTCGGCTCTCCTGTCCTACTCAAGCGGGTGGCGCTGGCGTTCCTGGGGGCCCGGGCTGGGGGCTAGCGAGACGCCACGTGACAGGCACTCCAGGGACACACACTTCGCACAGCAGTTTATAATGGGCTCTCCGGGGCCGTTTGTAATAACAGCTGCTATTCCCTGGATAGACGGAGTTGATTTCCTCCCTCTACCCCTCCCCCAGCCATGCCCCCTTGCCTTTGTAAGCGAAGGAAACAGTAGAAAATGCGACTCTCCAAGCTGAGAAGCCGCTGGCTTTGCCTTTGTGAACCGTGGTGAAGTGCTTGGAACAGGCTGTGCACTCACTCTGAGGGAGCTAAAACCGTCTTGTTCTTGTTTTAGCTTTATAAGATTCAATGGCTTGTCCATTATCCATACGTGGCTACTGACATATCTACACTTCGCACCGGAGTGTCTGGAATTATGGCTATCCTGATTATAGGATTTTATCGTAAATACGTTTTGAATAAATGTGTTGGGTTTTTGTTTGGTTTTGTTTATCCTTGCCGTCGGTGGAAAAGATGTACAGGACACATTTCTCTGATCTCCATAAACATGAAAACACCTGAAATCCCTGTCAGCCTGGCTTTGCGGATGGTAATTAGAGCGCCTTTGTGTCTGAGGATCTCACTAGTTAGACAAGGTCTGCGGCTGGGTGTGTATTGGTCCTGGCATGAAATTAAATGAAAGTGAAGTCAGGCTTTAGACCAATCCTATTCACCCAAACCTCAGAGCCATTTGGATTACTAGTTAGTAACGGAGATGTTTAATGAAATGCCTCTGACTATATTAGCAAAGGACATCAGATCAATCATTGAAGACTTGGAAACGTCTCACGTTTTCTTTCTAGGGTAGTCATTAAAGGAGTCCCTGGGTGATGCAAACGTTAAGTGCTCAACTGCTAACCAAAAGGTTGCTGGAACCCACACAGAGGCCTCTCCAAAGAAAGGCCTGGTAATCTGCTTCCAAAAGGTCACAGCCTTGAAAACCCTATGGAGTTCAGTTCTACTCTGACACACATGGGGTCTTCATGAGTTGGAATCGACTCCACGGCAACTGGTTTTGGTTTAGTTTGGTTAGGTGGTCATTAATGGACTTGTTCCACAAGGTGGCCCTTAAGACTGGAGCAGTATTGGCTGGGGCTGCTCAGGATGCAGGCTTTGCCGGTGGGAAAACTGGCTGGGAGTAAATTAAAGGGCTCCTGTCTTTGCCATTGGCACGTGGCTACAATTCTCTTCCTAAGCAGTGACATATCTGTCCCTCCGGTTTTAGGTTATTTCCGTCTCTTCCTTCAAGAAAGAGGAGGAGTGACTCACTAGGGGCTTGGTTGGGCTGGGCAACCGAAAGGATCCCAGGGCTCAAGTCCACTTACTAAATAAGGAACCTTGGACAAGTTGCTCAACCTCTGTGGGCTTTGGTTTCCTCATCTGTACAACAGGGATGATGAGAGAAAGTGTACATGGTGGTTGGCACATTCTGGAGATGAACAGTGTCTAGTCCCTACCCCACTCTCCTTACTACTCCTTCCTTCCCAGGGCTGCCCCTAACCAAGCAACCAGGTCTTCCATTTCTCATGAAATGAAGGTGTGTCATGATCCCCAAAGGGCCTTCTAGATTGAGTGCTCTATTACTGAAAAGTCTTGATTTTCTAAGTCCCCTTTGACTCAATGCCTGTGGTCTGTACCTCCCCATTTGCTTTCAAATACACCACAGACCCCAATGGCCTCTGAGGAATACCTCCAGAACCCACCGAGCCAGCCTTTTCCCACACCTGCCGAGCAGGAGCAGATTAACCAATAGGCAATTTTTTCACATTTTTTCACCACATCAAAGATTCTGCTTCTAGGTATGACTGGCATCTCTCTCTCTCCCAACCCTACAGCACCTTCCTGCAGAAATAAAACCTCTTCAAATTTACAGTCCCTGACAGGGACAGATTACCCAGTGACGTGCTGAAACCCATGTGAAATTGTTTACTACAGATAAGTAAACACAAGAAAGCCTGTGCTTGCCTTAATCATTGAGTAATCTGCCCATACTGCCCAGAAAGGCACAGGGGGCTCATTCCAATGATGCCCAGCAAGGGAAGGGTGGTGATGGAGGCTCTAACACAAACTGAGGAAGGAGGGCCTCCTCTGACAGTCCAGTGGGCTACAAGCTCCAGGCACTGAGCACAAGGAGAAAGTGGTCAGGTGCTAACTTCCCTGACACTGGGGTAACCCTGAGGCCTTCAGCCCTGCTTCCAGTTGGGATAGGACCCCTCAGAGGCCAGAGGATTAGGAACAATTCAGGGCCTTCTCTCTCTCCCCAAACTGGCCATGATTTGATGCCACCGAAACAACTGTGCTAGCTTTTTCTTGTAATAAGAATGGTTAGTTAAGGCTAGAATCAACCTTGTCCTCACCCAGTACAAAAACCAGTTGCCACAGATTCATTTACAACTCATCGTGACCCCATATATGTCAGCAGAACTATGCTCCATAGGGGTTTCAATGGCTGATTTTTGGGAAGTAGATTGCCAGGCCTTTCTGCCAAGGCACCTCTGGGTGGACTTGAAGCTCCAAACTTCCAGATAGCAGCCGAAAGCATTAACTGTTTGTGACATGCAGGGACTCTTCCTCCAAAAAGGAAGACAGGAGAAAACTAATGCCTGCTATGTATCAGGCATTAATGTACTATAAATGTACTATAACCCTATAACCATCTTTTAGAAATTTCCTGCAAGTCTTACTATTTACCCAAAATCCTTTTTTTGGAATAAGGCAGGGTTTACATACATAATTTTTTTTAAAGTTATTATCACATTTTGTGGGTGGAAAATAGTCCAGGGAAGGGAACAGGGCAGAGTGACCTACCAAGGTCCTGAAGTGGGAGCCCTGCAGAGTCTGGCCTCCCAGTTCAGGCCTGTTTCCCGTAGCCCAGTTAGCCTCTCTGAATATCATCAGACAGAGTCCAGTATTGTTCACGACAAAACTTCACACATACACGAGGGATGTGAATGACACCCCTGGAGTTGTGCAACTTGACAGCCTTGTCATTGGAACCCTGGAAAACTGTGCCCCAGGTCGCCAGGCTGAGCTAGGGAAAGCCAGGTATACCATAACCATTTTCTTACAAAATACCCAGCAACCTATAAAGACAAATGACCACAGAAAACAGCCTGGGTGAGATTTAAAAAAAAAAAAAAAGACCAAGGCTAAGCTCGATGAAAAAAATTAAAATGTGGGAATTGGCAAATGACAGAAGTGACCTGGAGTAAAGAACGCAGCACCTCACACAGAACTCCAGAGTATGCAATCCTAAGATTTTATGCTAAATAAGGTATAAATGCTACAGTATTTGAACTCAATTATTATTCCTTTTTGCTCTTTCCTTTTCCAGCTCAGAAGCAGAAACATGGAGTGAAGATCAGACACCACTTTCCTATCCAGCAAAGTCTGTGTCAAACCCTGTGATCCCTTCCGATCAGATAGAAGTTACCCTGGCAACGAAATTACTAGCTCACTCAATTAACCCCCGCCTATTCCACCAATGCTCAGTAATCACTGAATGTCAGCCCCAGGAGAGCTCAGCCTTCGGCAGTCTAGTGCTACTACCTCATTCAGAGATGAGGAGCTGGAAGCCCAGCGAGCTCTCCTCTCCGAGGTCACTCCATTTGAACACCATGAAAGCTGGTGCAGGCAAAGGCAGCAAAAATCCTTCCATGCGGAGCTTCCTCCTGGTTGTCCATCCATCACTGAAGGGAGAAGCAAGTGACTTGCCCATAACAGCGTTTCCCAGAAGACATAATAAAGAAGAGCATGGGCCCTGCAGGCAGCCCTCCATTATTAGCTGTATGATTTGGGACAGGGTCTGTAACCTCCATAACCTCAGTTAAGTCATCTGCAAAATGGGGATAAGAATAGAGCCCACCTTGAAGAACTGCATGAAGATTAAATGAGCTAGTATATGGGAAGCAAATAGCAAATAATAAATAATTAAAACAACATAACATCGTTCCTGGAAACTATTGCATAAAGGCCATTTCTTTGAGTCTTCAGTAAAAAATTCTGCCTTTTAACAACTTCAACCTGTTTCTTAAAAGGCATAAACTTTTGTTTTCTCTGAAGGTAAGACCAGTTTTCTTGATCATGCACTGCACCCCTGTTCTATTAAAAAAAACCCGTGCTGTCAAGTCAATTCCAACTCATAGTGACCCTATAGGACAGAGTAGAACTGCCCCATAGAGTTTCCAAGGAGCACCTGGTAGATTCTGTCAACCTTTTGGTTAGCAGCTGTAGCTCTTAACCACTACGCCACCAGGGTTTCTACCCCTGTGGTATAGGTAAGTGTTAAAGGAAGTATAGAGGGAGTCCCTGGGTGGTGCATACAGTTAAGCACTCGACTATGAGCTGAAAGGTTGGTGGTTCAAACTCATCCAGAGGTGCCTCAGAAGATAGGCCTGGTGATCTGCTTCCAAAAGGTCACAGCCTTGAAAACCCTATGGAGCAGTTCTGCTCTATACTCATGGGGTCGGAACTGACTCCGTGGCAACTGACAACACAACGAGAGAGGGAATAATTGTTCTACCACCACTATTTGCTGTCCAGTTGATTCTGACTCATGGCAACCCCATATGTGTAAAAGTAGAACTGTGCTCCATAGGGTTTTCAATAGCTGATTTTTTAGAAGTAGATCACTAGGCCTTTCTTCTGAGGCTCCTCTGGGTGGACTTGAACCTCCAAACTTTCAGTGAGCAGCTGAGCACATTAAC